GTGCTTTCATCACAAATGTTAGTATTCGCGTCAAAAGACAAGTGATAACTTAGGGAAGAATGTGTTGTATGACTGAAGAAAAAAAAAAACAAAAGAAGAAGAGAAGTCGAATATTTCGTGGCCTTTGTTACTTGAGTAAGTATGTTCTTAGGGGTGTTTCTTCACATAATGCCCTAAAGCCAACTGGTTTGGGAGTCATTAACAAAAAGCTCATTACATGGGTAACTTAAAAAGCCTAAGTAAACTTGACTTATGAAAAAAATTGAGGGGAAAAAAAAAAAAAAGATAGTAATAAGTGCTAAGGTGTAAAGGTCTAAACTCGAAACTTCTTACTATGAATTTCCACACACACACAATAAGTGCTCATGGGCTAAATCTTTTAACAAGTGGTGTGAAGAATATGATGAGTATCTAACTTTAAGTGACTATATGAAAACTCTTGAATATTTAAGACTTTGTATCTAATTGAACTTTAATTCCTAAATTTTCTTTGCATGCATATCATGTAGTTACATTCTTGCATTGGGATTTTGTGGGTAGATCCATTGCAAACCCTCACGAGACACAACTCGTCCACTAGGGTGACCTAGGGGTTTAAAGGCTTGTTGCACATGCTAAGTGCAATCGTGATTCCTACGAAAGTAAGTTAGGTTTTATTTTGTTTCTTTTATCTTTTTATTTTACTCAATGACGAGTAAAACTTAAGTTTGGGGGAATTTGATTAGCTAAATTTATATACATATTAATAGGGAATTTTTACTTTGATATTATTGATATTTGGATGAGTTTTATGGGATTTTGTTTGATTTTACATGGTTTTCATTCTTTGTGTAGGAAAGGATTTAATTGGAAGAAATCCTACTTTTTAGAAATAAATTGAAGAGATCAGAGACTTGAGGATCAACTTGTGCAGAATCCAAAAGTCAACAACCAAATCTGTTATTTTACCATTGAAGAAATTGCAAAAGGAGACCAGAAACCTGACACGGGTGTAGTGTCGACACATGATCAGGGTGTCGACACCATGCGTTAAACGTCCAAAATCAGATTCTGTTTCCTATTTTGTGTCAACACGTAGGCGAAAGTGTCAGCACCACGCGATCAGCAAATTCAGTTTCCTATTTCTGTTCCAAGTGCTACTTCTATTTCAATTAGGGTTTCTAAAATCCTATAAATACCCATCCAAATTCAGAATTAGAGGAGAGTTTTTGAGAGGCTGGTGGCATCTTTTGGGCATTCTTGAAGATCAAGAGAAAAGATTCAACAATAAAAAATCAAGGAGCTCGATTTCCTCATATTGGGTTTTTATCTATTATTTGATATTTGAATATTCATAACTTTGATTTTATATTTTATTATTTTTATTATGAACTGATTTATTCTACTAGGGTTACGATGTAGTCTAATCAATTCAATATGGATTTAGTGATTTTATACTTTCAATTAAAGTTATTTGCATGAGGAGTTTATATTATTGAACTTAATGCATTGGAAGTCTGATCACCTTTCAATTGATTTAGTGATTTATGCATGAACTTGAGAAAGAATTGCGTAGATTAGACCAATAATAATATAAACCGTATGCTAGACTATGAGACCGAGAGGTAATTAGCTCACATGTGGTAGTGGAGGAAGAGAAGAGAGTTAAGAGCTCTCCCTTCTTAAACTAGAGGTTTTCATAGAATTTAATGCTCATAAATTTATTTAAAATTACATAGAGATATGATTAATTTAACAAATAAGTGAAGGATTAACTTGACTTGAGAAAGCTAGTTAATTAATTTAGGGAAATCCACCATCACATGCAATAACACTCAACAATTTGGTAATCTAAAATTTATATTGATTGATTATGATGAAGTCAATGCCTTAGTACCTCATATCTTGGTTAGGTTTAATTTAATTGTTATTTTCCTTTTATTATTTTTTTTAGTTAAACTTTCTTCTCATTTGGTTGTTCAAATAAATTTGGATTAATTATTTTGGTACTTAGTTAGACACAATCCTCGTGGATTTAACACTCTTCTCATCATTATATTACTTGGAGCGACTAATACACTTGTTAGGGTGATTTTAATGCATCACAAAATATATCAAACATAATAAGTAGTTCATGACTGTGTTTTCCTACTTACATCAGAGTTGCCCTCAAATGTAATATCAGCATGTGCATGAAAAGACATAATGCTTATCCAGACTGTTATCTGCATAAAACAACAGAAGATGCTTTAAATATAAAGTATCGCAAGAAGATGAATGACAGACAGCATAATTGTAAATTTGTCATTTACAGCACACAAAGAGCATACACTAGGAGACTTGAACATACCTTCAGCCCTTGGTAACCATATATTTTCCCATCTTCATCAAAAAAGTTGTTCAAGTCAACCGGACTAATACAGTAACCATTGAAGTTCCCACTTCTTCTTTGCTAGAAACTATCACACCAGCAATACAGTAAATAATCATGGAAAATAATAAGCACACAAAGTAACCATAAGATTTAAGGAACAAAGTGGGTCTAAGTACCAGAGATTGAAATGTAAGAACTTAGAATGGAAAAACAAAAGAGAATACTAATGCCAAGTTGCAATATAAGAACCAAACCAAACACCAGTGCCAACCTTAAACAGTCATCTGCTCATACCTAAACTACTGTACATTCTTACTCCCAAATTATAGGTTGGTAACTAGTGAAAATCGACAAGCGCACAATCCGTTTCTTCTTTTGATTATCTTTTTTCCTTTTTCCTTTCAAATCTTCAGAAACCAGTGGAAGCAAATCCTCTCCGCACCACAAAGCTAAAACAATTAAAACTAAAATCTCAGCAATCCAAAAGCATCAAACTCACCCAAGTAAATCTTGAAGCAATCATTGGCTTCAACTCCGGCATCTGCTCAACAATCAATAACAAAAAACAAAAAAAAAATGTAAAAGTCAGGTAAGTGAGCTGAATCCGCGAACATTGTTCAAAAAAACAACTAAAATGCTAAGTAGAGCAAGAGTGAAGGCGGAAATGGAAAAGGGTTTCAGGAGAAGATGGAAACACAAAATACTGATGGAAAGAGAAGCTGAATTGACTCACCGATGGTGGCGAATCCGACGCGCCTTCGCTTCTTGGGCTCGGCGTTGGCGCTTGGATCGGCAGTGGACTGTTGCTTCTGCTTCATTCCGGGAGGGTTAGGGTTTAGCAGAGCGGGAAATGAAAGACGGATAGGCGGGAAATTAGACGGGGGAGAAGGGCTAATTTGGCACTTAAATACTAGAGGACTCCTAGCGTCAGTCGCTTTTAGGCACTCGCTTTTGACACTCTCTTTCTCATTTTGCCACCTCACATCTGTTTTTAAGGGTAAACCGGATACCGACTCTAACAAGTTATGTGTCTAAATTTTGAAATAAAAATCCGAGAGCCAAGGTAAAATTAAAAAATTAATAATAAAAAATTAATAATAAAAACAAGAGGTAGGTGATTTTCTCTCACCTCGTTTGTCCGCCATGACTGGGCTTCCTTCACCTCTTACATCTCTCTTCTAGCAATTTAGATCTTCCTCTTCAAAGTTTCCTATTTCACTAATTACAACTAAATTGGATACAAAAATTAAGTTAGAGAAGATTTCTAAATTTTTAAAATTTCAATCTTTCGAGAAAATCGTAAGATTTAAAAAATTAGGAAAAGAACATAATATAAAGATAATTTTTTATCACTTAAATAATTATTGAATTAATTAAATATTATACATCAAGTACTTGAGGAGGACAGCCATGGCGGACTGAAATACACAGAGACATTTTTTTACCCATTTCGATCAGCTTCTTTATTTATCTTCATTCCTTTTTTTTCCTTTAAAAAAAAATTGTAAAACACAAAATAAATTGGGAAAACTCCAAAACCACCCAATGCCATAACCAGTCAAAATCTCAGTCAACTGCTAAGAATTGCCTCCGGAAGAAGAAGGCAGTATAGAATTTTTTTTTTTTTTTTGCCATAAGAGAAGTTGGAAAGTTGTTTAGGATGGGTGGGGCGCCGTTGAAGAAAAGCTGAGAAAAGGAACTGATGGAGATGAACGGAGGAGGATATTTGATTTTGGTACTTTTTCTTTTCGAACATCAAAACATCCAGCAACAAAATGAAATAATCTGAAGAGTGAGGATTTCATCTGGTAGATTTCTACATTTGAGTCTATGATTGCCGCTTTGTAAAAAGTTTTGATTTTGACTGTGTTGAAGATGGATGGAGAACTGGAGAAGAAAGGCTATGAAAGAGAGAGAAGGCAAGAGAGAGAAATGAAAAGTAGAAATAAAATGAAGAACCGACTATAGTCGGTTGCCAATTTAGATGTCAAATTCGGTGACTACGTGGCAGCATAACGTGGAGGGTGCTAGAGCGAGTGAGGAAGGGCGATTGCCCTTAGCATTCCTCTAAATACTAATCTCTCCCTCCCCGAAATTAATATTTTAATATTCTTTTTTTTTTTGTTTGGTTTAACCTTTAATATTCTGTTTTTAGTACTTAATTTGAGTTTCAAATTCAGAAATGATATACGTAGTTAAAATATAAAATTATAATTTTGTAATGATGATATTAAACAAATAAATTTATAATGATGATCTAACAATTCATAATCAGTTTCAAATTAGCTGGCCAAAGAACAAAATAAACTATTTCAAATTAATTCTTCCATTCCAACCTTTTTTAAAATTGTATTAATTTTTTCATATTTTGGTGCTTCTTTCTAACTCTAGCTAAGAAAGAAAAAATGATAAATTTTTTTAATATGAGATAACGAGTTATAAATTAAAAAATAATTAATTTCTTTTCGAATCCTTCTCATTCCTTATAAAATTTAAATTAAAAAAATTTAATGTGAAAATTTATATTTTTAATTACTAAAACATTCTTTATAAGACGGAAGGGAAAGTGATAATTGTTGGCGTTATTAACTTTGTTAAATAATACTATAAAAATACAATACTAGTGTTGAGGGATGAGTTTATATGGTTACATCACCAATGACGTGTGCAGATTCACATCAGTAAGGGCTCACAACGCTTACTTCCCACACTGGACATGCAATTCCTGTTTTTCATTAATTGCTGTAATGGAGTCGACATCGTCAGAAGCAGTGCTCAACATTATTCTCTTATATATCGCTAGGAGTGGCATTTACCCACTTCACTGGGAATAATACAAATATGTTCTACTTCAGCAGCATTCCCCTATACATGGCCAGACACGGCCATATTATCTATGCAACATGGCTGGGTATTTTTGACAATCATGTCCTTTACAATGATGTTTATTGCTACATATTTTGGCTCCAAGCAATGGTTGAAGAGCTTATTTTGCTGTATGGCTCCCATTAACGAACAACAAACTGATCTTATTATATCTACATAGCTCCCAACGATGGACAAATGGGCAGATTTACTATCTCATTTAGCCTCCAGCAATGGACAAAAAAGCTACACATTTCTACATATTCTATCTTACTGGCTCCCGAAAATGGACAAAGAGTCAACACAACTCGATACGATTAGCATGAGGCCGATAATAGTTGCAATCTTACGATCAGATGGGATAGCTACCCTCCAGCGATAAAAATCCATCAAGTAGCGGTTGACGGTCCCTTGGTAGTCGCCCGTGCATGGTGGTGTGGTGCCCGGCATGCAACAACAACCAGGACCACCTTTTGACAGTGTGGGTATGGCACGAGGGCCAACGTTTGTCAATGGTATCACACCTTGTCGTATCGGATGCCATGGATGCGGCTGGCGTCCCCCTTTCATGTAGAAAACTCCACCTTTCTCTATACATATTCATCGCTATGGC